TCCCAGTGTGCTGCCAGAAGGCAACAACAATTAAGGAAAAAGAGGCCACTCAAGAGTAAGGCTTGGAGATGATTGGCCCCTCCCATAGGACATAAAAGACGAGAGAATGGGACGTGAACTTTTGTAGGAAGCAATTGGTTCATCTGGTCGGTTTCAAGCTCTGAGAGGTTCTGTTTGACTCTGTGCTAAGTTTGGCTTTGCAAAACTAATTGGCAATTAGGTCTCTGGCACCATTTCAAGGGAGATAAAGGTGGGTGCTTATCAACATTACCCTGAAAGACCGTGGCAACTCGAGCAGACATCTGTCGGACTCTTTACAGACTGTTTGTGAATCATTACATGCTTTGAATGACCATAATTAAATAAAAGAGGGTTTGGGGGGGCTAAGATTGTGACGTATGTTTTCTCAGGAAGCCTAGGTCAGAACAAAATGTTCATAATTTCTTAGATGCATCAATGAGCCACAATCTTGGGCCATGCTCACCCAACGTATTAAACTGTGATACCACAAGGTGCAAACATGTTGCACCAACAGATTCATCTAAATGCTGCCTCCGAGATGGTTAGTTCCAGCCCCAGCCAGCCCCTGGCACATGGAAATGAGTGCCTTAAAAAGGAAAGGAGCTAATTAGATCAATTAGTGGGTGTAAATTTGTCTGTCTGGTCTTTAAAGATCTTTTCTCTCTTTTAGCAGCACTTTTGTTTTTTTTAAAAAGGAATCAGTCTTGCAATTAACAGTGTAGAGAACATAACACAGGCTGAATACTAACCTGCCCACCTAAGAAATAAATCTCATCCCCCGCCCCATTTCAGGAAAATTTCTTTTGCAGCCAATTTTAAGAGAGGTTTAGAAGAAAACAGGGAAGGAAGATAGGAAGGATGGAAGCCTTAGAATTAAGAAACAGATCTTCCTTTCTGCAAAGCAATGCGAGTCTCAACCTCTTGCAAGAATTCACTTTGGGAAGGTGTTGGCTGCACACAACCCCAACCTCAACTGAAGTTTGGGTTAAGGAGGGCAACCCAACTAATGTTGCCTTAATCAGCAGCAAAATGATTAAAAATGTAAGGAGGGCGCACATGTATGGTTCAAGAAGGATATTTGAAAGCTATTATCAGTTGTTAGTCAACGACTGAGAGACAGTGATGATGAAAATGAAGATGATGATGCTTACAGCAAATCTTACAAAGCATTTCACTTCTTCTAGTATCTTTTGCCAAACTGACTAAAATTCCCATGCTATTTAAGACAGCTCATTATTGTAGAAAAGATCTCTCTCTCCCTCCCTCCCTCTCCTCCCTTCTCCCCTCCCCCTCTCCCTATCTCCCCTCTCTCCTTACTGTTACGAAGTTTCTTCTTAATTCCAGATTGTTTAATTTGCCTCCATGTATTGCACAGCAAATAGGTTTTTTTCCCCAATGAATTGAAAATTCATCTGTCTATCGATCTATCGATCTATCTGTCTGTCTGTCCATCTATCCATCTATCCATCTATCCATCTATCCATCTATCCATCTATCCATCTATCCATCTATCCATCTATCCATCTATCCATCTATCC